CGCCCCAGTTGGACTTTTCAAACCGCTTGGCCTGTCAAGACGATGCTCCATTCACCCGACGCGGTAGATTCCAGATCGATGTTCAAAGCCTCTGCACAGATCTCGCACGCGCCACACGCGCCGCACGCCTCCTCTCGCACAACAGACAACACCTTGGCGTCACGTCCACCTACCCCATACTTCAACGGGGGGCTAATATTTGGTCGCCCAGCGACCGCTCCCGGTCCAGCCCCGGCGCCCCTACGCGCAGCGCGCACCCCGGCGGCAGCGAGGACGTCCACGATTGGCGCATGGCCGGCCGTACTCTGCATCCGGTGCGCGTATGTACAGCTAAGCCTGAGATACAACCAGAAACATCAGAAGGCAAAAAAGAAGGCGAGGAAAAGGTGGGGGGCATACCCGGGCCCAAGCACGAACTCTCCGCCAAGCTGCGAGGCGTCCCCACCTCGTTCCCACACGGGCATCCCAACGCGCAATGCGTGAGCGACGACCATCGCCAACCCGCTCACGGCACCATGTCGCACGTATGATCCGGCGGGATGCGCTTTGTGTGCGCCGGACGAGACTCGGCCCATGCGGAGAGTGCGGTACAGCATCTGGCCTGGCGATCCATCGACGAAAAGCTCGTAGGGAAGGTGAAAGATCTCTGTCAGACGTTCGTTAGATGGTTCCCGTACGTCAGGTGATGAATGTCATACGGCGATATGAACGGATGAGCCCGTACGAGCCGCATCCGATCACAACAAGGCGTACGCCAGATCGGGCGAGCGCAGCATGGTCGACTTCGCGCATGACCGACGCGAGATAATCCTGACACATCGGGCACCTGCGTGAGGCGATGTAAGGAATACACTTTACGTGACATTTCAACCAGGAAAGAAGCGTACCAGAAATGCCGGATAAAGATCACCACCGTGCGTTGTGTACGCCATAGTTCACCAAACTGTATTCGCAGTCCGTTCTCGCGCACGATGGGTAAGCGTGCGGCTTGCGTGAGCTGTGCAGAGCTCAACGTCCCTGCTGCACCCGGCTCTGAGATCGAGCGTCGGTGCGTGTGGTGGTAAGGGTGGGGGTGAGAGTGGTGTCCATGTCGCTCCGACGTATGGGGGCTGTGTCGGCCATGTGACGACGAGGGCGAGATGTCGCGGCGCCGCAATTGGGGGGCAGACAACGTTGACATATTGTCAGCATGAGAGGAACTTGAAGATGTTGACCGTATGACATTCGAGGCCGGGCTGGGAGTACGTGATGGCACCACAGACGGTGGTACAGAACGTGGAGGAGGGGGCGGTGGCGGAAGGCGGCCGATCTGTAACGAAGAAGGCATGGTATGGGTCGTATGCAGAAGGGGCACAGTAGGGGCACGTCCAACACGCGGCGGAGCTGCACCTGCAGGCAGACTGACGTGCGGCGTTGTGGATGGCGTTCCATAAACAGCATGCGAAGTCGGTTGTGACGCAGCATGCGTCGATAATGTTGTTGCGAGAGGCAAACTCCGGACTTGCGGAGGTGATGGTTCATGATCGTGCGCGCAGGCCTGGTGAGGCGTGGGTGAAAGCATCACCACGGGTTCTGGGTGTGTGGTAATAGTAGGTGGGCTTGGCAGTGGTCGCGACAATGGCAGTGGTGTCGAGAAACTGCGTGTCGCTATGGCCTTGCCAGGACCCTGAGACACCGATCGCTTCTTCGGCGGCGATGGAAGGTCCAGTTTTTCCTTCGCCTCTGGCTTTGGAGGACTGCGTGGGGCAAAATCTTCAGCGGTATGCATACTGGAGACAACGGAGGCGCCGTCCGTGTTTTCCTGCGAAGAACCACGAGTAATGGAAGAAGCGAGGTCTGGCCGCTCAGCACTGCACCCTGGGCTCCCGACCTGTGGATTCACATGGTGGCGCTTTTCCAGCTTTTTCGACTCGGGAGTATTCACGGAAGTCAGGGTTGTCGTCTTTGTGTCCTCAGAAACGGTGACCGGCGCTTGTGTGATCTGTAAAGGCCAAGTGACCGCCGCAGGTGTAGCAATAGACGACGCATCCTCAGCAGCAAGCATTTCTGCGGCCTCAGTGGCTGCTCGAAGCGTGCTACGTAGTGAAGATGAGGTGCTGCTTCTTTGTACTGGCAATGGCGCAGATTTTCGCGCCCGTAACCGGGATAGGCGCCAATTGTCACGCTCCACGGATTCGTGCTCCGATTTGACTGATTGCTCTTGCTTCGGGAATCGGAAGCTAAGCTGGATAGGTAAGGCATCTGGATTTTCCGGCAACGTGGACGCCTTGTGGGAGCTGGAAATGTCAGATGGTAGAGAGGTCGCAACCGTTGATGGAATTGAAGTGGCGTGGGGTTTCGAAGACGTCACGGGTGAAGTGGTGAAGAGTGCTGACTTGGCGGGTGGGAAGTTGACGGGCACAAGGGGAAATGAAAGCACGGCGGACGATGGCAAGGAGACAGGGCGACTACTTCGAATCGAACTGGGAGTCTGTGGGCGAGAAGAAGCAGAGTAGAAGGCCAGGTCGCGGGACCAAGAGCTGACCGAGGATATGGACGGGCTCAATTTTTCGAGGGGTGGTGGAGGCAGAATGTGCGAAGGGGTTTCTGAACGTTTGTCTGTACCTTGTGTTGCAGGCATATCGACTTGCATGACATGCATACTTTTGCGGAATGGCACCGCATCGTCGAAATGTTCGGCCACGTCGTCAAGCAAAGTCGCAGATACGAACGAACTGCCGCATGAAAGGGGTCGTGCAGAGGCCTCACTCGCCTTCCGCTCCCGACTCGTAGATCCTCCCAATGAGGTCGAAGAAGACGTAAGTATACTGGCACGACTACCATAAGGAGACAGCGAGCGTCGCCTCGTAGACGACTCCACTTGGAACCTGGGCTCGGGTTCGGCGCGCGACTCTAGGAAGGAAAATGTTCCCGATCGCAATGCAAACACCGATTGGGAGCGGCGCCGCGCCTCGTGGCGTTGCATCTCTTTCGCACCAGGACGTAATGTCGTGGAAGCAATCGTCGCCGCAGCTGGGACTTCTTTGCCGGGAGAATATCCGTTTAACCCAACGCCCATAGATACCCCTTTACGCAGCTGGGACGCATGCCCCTGCCAGCCACGTTCCCCAGATGGGAACCCAAATCCTGCTGACTTCTTGCGCGAGTGGGTGATGAAGGAGGGGAGGTCAAGCACCCTGGGAGACGCAGGTGTTTGGTCCGGAATGGTAACAGGGGATTCGTATGGTGAATTTGTGAGTGTCGTAGTGCGACCCCGGAGGACAGAAAGGGGGGCAAAAGGGTTGGTAGGGTCTGGCTCAGGGTAGCGCGGGGAGTATGGAAATGGTCGGGGCGACTTGCGCTTGATACGGGGCGCACCAGAATCTCGAGATGGCTCAGAGGACATGTCCGAATCATCCAAGCAGGGAAAAATAACACGGAGAGAGGGAATGACTCAGTCTTTGAGGGAAGGATGGGGACGTGGTTGAGATGCATTCTCCGGGGCTGGCAGTGGTTCAAGTAAGTCATAAAAATGAGGGGGAAACGTTGTGGCCAGTCGGCCCATGTATGACATGCATGGTAGGTAGGGAATATTTGAATTTCACGGCCTTTGCCGACGTAGAATGGTTGCTTCGAGTTGGGACCGTTTTAATCATTCTCCAGGACGTAAATGAATGGCAACGATGCAAATTCCGACCCGGGTAGAAGCACAAGCTCGAGGGATAGTCGAAGACACCACAATCACGAAGCACCCGGGGAGGTTATAGAGTGGCTCAAAGCCTATCGGCGAATCAAGAGCGCCCATAATAAGTTCGACGAGTAAAAACCCCAAAAATCAAGAGAGGAGACTAAAAAACCAAACAGCAAGGTTTATTGAGCCCGGAAACGCAGGAACGTTGAAAACGAGTGCACAGTACAAGGTGCTCAGAATCCTACGTCGAACTCTTGATTTTGCTAAAGTCGGCTCTCGGCTTGCTACAAAGGGCGTCGACGGGGAACGTGTGTCTGGTGTGCCAAACTTACGTTTGAACGCGAAATGAATCTATGTGCGTGCCGACATGGAAGTGTTTGAGTGGCTGTCATCTCCGTGACCTTCGGGTTATCGGACAAAGGACAGAGGACGCATGCGTTCGCATCGGTCCGGAATGTGCCCGGTTATTCCACGAATAACGAGCGGCGTCCGAAATTCTATAGAGTAAGAAATAATTAAGGGAGAACCGAAGGCTGGGGCGCATGGGAGAAAAGAGGGGAAACGAGCTAGAATCATCGCATTCATCAGAAGCCTGAGGATGTTGTTGTCTTTCCTTAGAGGTGACCACGTGACGGTGTGAGGGCGACGTGTGCAACGGCAAAAGGCTGAGCGCTCGGGGACATGGCAACGCAATTTCTTAACTTCACGAGACTGTGCAGGTGGCAGTTTCTGCTGGCTAGCAGAGCGCAGTACATGCAGGACTTACGGGACACCCGACTGACAGCCTCATGGAAGTGGCCGAGCTTGAAGAAGACTCACATTTAGTCATCGGTTTCCAACCTGCCACTTACTCCCGTACCAGTCGAAAAGTCAAAAAGCTGAAAAGAAACTTAGACCTCAAAAAAAGTTCATTTGCAAATTCATTTTCAGAAGGAATGAGGTACAAGGAAACCCTCTTTCTTTCCAAAAAGTTCAAAAGCTCAAAAGCCGATGGTATATTTACCTGATGTAAAGGAATGGGCGAGAATGTTGATGTAGATCTAGAAAGAGTGGACAGAATCGAAATGATGACCAACATTAATTTATCGTACGCCGGGGTAGCTCAGCTGGGAGAGCAACAGACTGAAGAAATGGCATTCTGGAGGTCCCGTGTTCAATCCACGGTCCTGGCATCTTTTTTGTGCATTCAAATTGCAATCTTTCCTCTTCTCGTGCAAAGTTCAAGCACCAATGATCACGCTATCACCCAGATTGCACCGTGATGCCGATGTGTCAATGGACGATGTTACCGCAAGGGGAAATATAGGGATGGCTAACATCTTCAATACCTGCCGGGGTAGCTCAGCTGGGAGAGCAACAGACTGAAGAGTTATGGCATTCTGGAGGTCCCGTGTTCAATCCACGGTCCTGGCATTTTACATCACGAAACTTTTTGGGCTCTGGACTCGTACGAGTTCGTACGAGCCAAAAAGTCAGAAAGGAACCTCGAACTCAAGTCGATTCACAAATTCATTTTCAGGAGGAGAAAAGTAGAATAAAACCCTCTTTCTTTTCCCCAAAAAGTCGAAAAGTGAAAAAGCTAGTGGTGATGTGCAATTATGACTTGAGAACTATTTATTGTCCCATCGACGACTGAAGTACTGAAAGGTCGATACCAGGCTGGAGTGCCCGCGCTCGCATAGGCTGCACGCCGACCGAATGGTACCTGGGTAGTTCTGGAACACTCGTCGTTAGTCTACAGAAAACAAATGGCGGCAGGCCCGCTTCGCGCACTGTATACATCCAAATCACGATCTAAGTTCTATGCGGGAGGCAGCTCTTTCTTCGGCGGCCTCACACCGAAGATCCCCGTCCCAACGCGTACAATATCCGCGCCCCCCTGCAAGGCCAGCTCAAAATCATGCGACATGCCCATGCTCAGCAACAGCCTTCTCCCCCCACGCCGTCCTCCTTCCTGATCCTGACCATCCACCTCCACCTCCTCACCCCAAACCGCATCGTCCGGCAACGCACGCACAAGCCGATCCCTCGCCCCCCTCAGCGCCCCAAACTCCCCCTCGCCACCATCCGGCGCGCCAATCGTCATGAGCCCAACAAAGCGCAGGCGCGGACACGCGCGGACGACGTGCGCGGCAAGCCGCGCGATCTCCTCCTCCGCGCCGACGGCGATCCCGCCCTTGGCCTCCTCGCCCGACGTGTTGAGCTGTATGAGCACGCGGAGCGGCGCATGCTCCGCCTGGCGATGCCGATTGAGCGCGGAGGCGACTTTGGAACTCGCCAGCGTCTGCACCGCGTATAAATTTTCGATACCTGCAGGTCCCACCCACCACGAGCACGAGCACGAGCACAACCACCACCATCATCATCACGCTGTCAAAAACCCAGAGCAGTGAAAAAAAAAATGAAAAAAAAAGGTGGGAGGAGGAGGAGGGCAGGGGGCGGATTTGGAAAGATAGATAGCAAGGGGAAGAATGTACGCACTCGCGAGTGCTTTAGCCTTGTTGGACTGCACGGTGCCGATGAAATGCCACCGCACATCGCGCGGTAACAGAGCCGCCTTCTCGACGAGCTCCTGCGCGTAGTTCTCGCCAAAGTCCCGCTGTCCTGCGTCGTAGCATGCGCGTACGTCTTCCGCTGGCTTGTATTTCGACACGGCCACGAGAGTCGGTGAGCGTCCTGGCGAGCTGGAGCCGCACACGGCTGCGACCCCCGCGCGGATCTCACTGAGTGACGCGTGCAGCTCCGCGATACGATGCGGCGTTGGGAGAGGTTCAGAAGTGATAGGAAGTGACGAGGTTGTGCTCATCGTTTTTACACGGAGCTGGGCGTAGTATCGCTGGTGAATAATGGTCCCTAATGGTCGCATATGGTTACCCCAAGGGGAAGTCCGCCGCTGACATGCCATTATATCCAGCTCTGTAATCATAATGCTGTACAGTCAATAAGGCAAAGTACATAGACGTACAACATCAGCGTATTTATCATACAAAAGGTCGAAGAAGAATGGAGATCAGTGTGCGACAGGCACGGTAAGGGGATGTGTGATTACATGGGGCTAAGAGGTACGAGTTCGGAGGTCCTGTGGGGGAATTTTGTAGTGTTACTACTGTGCGTGTGTGGAACGGAGATACTAAACGCATGGTACAAATATCAGGGGACGGGGTCGAGGCCAAAGTAACAGACAGCGAAACATAAGCAGAGGTGGGGATACAGCAAGGAAGGGGTAAGGAGACACCATCAGGGATGGTTTTTGATGAGCGCCTCACATATGCAAATACTTCTCGTTGAGGAGGTACACCTCGCGCGCAAGGCAAGGCCAATTCACGCAACGCGCGAGTTCCGTGCGCAGGCGTTCTGCATCACCCGCGGCGCGGTCATGCGCGAGCTTCACCTCCCAAACACAGAGATTGTATAACAAGCGCATGTTCGGCTGGATTAGGACGCTCAGGCGGCGTGAGCGTACAATGAGGTAGGCCTCCACGAGGGAAATCCCGAGATACTTCATGACGTATGCGATGGTGACAGTCGCGCTGCGAGACACGCCTACGCGACAATGAACGAGCACTTTGCCACCTTGCTCGCGCGCTCGGTCGATCCATTCACAGATTGGGGCCAATTGGGGTTCGAGAGTATCGATGCCATCGTCGCACACCCCTTTGATATCGAGAACCTGAATACGGCCCTCGCGCTCCTCGGTGTATAGGCTGCCCCGTCTGTCCGATCCTCCACTCATCACGACAGAATTGGGACCTTTCGCTGCGAAGGATGTGCTCGCGGTTCCCGGAGGAGAATCAGGTGGAATGAGTGCACATTCCCCAACCGAGACCACATGGGTGATACCAAGAGCATGGAGCATGTACGCATTTGCTGCGTGGTTTCTAACAGATCAATCGAATGTTAGGATTTGTCACACGGATGCAAAGAGGATACACACAGGTTTCCAAGATACAAGAAGGGCAGTACTCGGCTCGGAAAACTTCCGTCGAAGCGTGGATCATCAAACCAGACCAGGTGGTCACCCACAAGTGACGGCAACAACGGGCTCGTGCTCGCACGTGGTCGTCGCATCGACACTATAGGAGCATTCCCCGTCTCGTCGTAGGACGTCGACATGGCACTCGAGTTGACACCAGGATTGAGAGAATTCGCGCGCGCGGGTCCAGAAAGGAATCGACGGGGGGAGGGCAACTTTGCATGACGATCACGCGCAAGCCTGCTCTCGATGGCCTTCAGTAACCGAATATCGGTCTCATAGACGAAGAAGCTCCGCTTCTTTGTCACCTATATCAACATCTCGGTTAAACATCAGGGCGCCCATGTACACACTAATGGGCTCACCTGCAGCTCGAGGTAAGCCTCCGGGAGGGTCACTCCACGGATCATCATGATCAATGACAGGACAAGGACACTGCTCTCAGTATATCCGTCCGAGCTCCAAATCAGTATCTTTGCAGGTCGCCCAAACCCACGTTGCTTATTAGGCTTGAGTAGCTTTTCCAGGAATTCCAGGAACATTGACATTTCTTCGACAACGGGGAGCAAAGGGAACGGAAGGTACACGATAGCCGCGGCATTTGGTGGGGGCCGTGGCCCTTTCCCACCAGAAGCTTGCCAGCGCCGCTCGAGTTCCATAAGGTGCTCCTGGGCACTGAGAAGAAAGCCCAGGGCGGGTCTTGGCGCGCGAAGTCGACACTCGATACAGACGTCGTAGCCCAACCCATCTGCAGGTGAGTTTCCTGAACTGTCAAGTAGGTCGACGCCTCGCAACGACGGATCACCTGGGTTACCAGGTAAAAATGGCACGTCGTTAACATTGCCGAGAAAGACCTGAGCCAGGCCAGGAGTCCATGGGTGAATGTCCATCGAGTTGTCATGCCGGTCAGGGGAATGGATCGTGAGGATCTCGCTGGCGCGAGTCAGCTCGCGCATCTCGTCCTTCTCACGTTGCGCGAGGTTGATCGTATGTGGACCGACAAGGAGATGTCTTAGCCTGGTGCGTAACTCGGCGGGGGTGGCATCAAGTACGAAGACATTATATGGGATTCGAGTGCGAGCGCGGGCTTCAACAGCTTGCTTGAACTTCTCCGCCACAGCAAAGGCTGCCCTTGTTGCCCCTCGGCGGGAATAAACGACGATGTCCGAAAGGGTAGAATAAATTGGCTGCCGTAGCAAATTAGAATAGTCACAAAACAAATTGGGGTTCGGAAGAAGACGAGTAAGCCACTCCGCTCCACGCTAAAGCGATCGGTCGGATGAGAGACAGGGGCCAAGTGGAGTGCTCCCTTTCGGGGATATGGCGCGAGGTATGAATAATCACCTAAATTGGCTTGCTTTGCTGCTTGACAGGTGACCACAACCGGAAAAACCGTCGCCATATCCCCGCCCAGATTCAATCACTTCCCCGCATTGGTCACCTGATCACCTGGGGTAATGCAGGCGCCCGACACCGCGCTCAAGATGAAACAGCGGAGGAGATGAATGGCATAACCCACGGCCGAGGGGCAGGACGACAAGACTGAGAAGGATACGTACCAGTTGGGTATCAAAATTGCGCAGTGAGATACCATCAGGGACTTTCAGAGGGATAAACTCAGCGTTTCCGTCCGAGTTGAGCTGGAGGAGATCGCGGGTCTTGAAACCCGAGGCGATAAGTGGGGCAATACGGGGCTGAGGTTCCGGAAAGGGCGGCTCAAGTGGAGTGCACGACGAAGGGGGAGAGTCGAGATCAAGTGAAGTGGCAGGGGTAGGCGGTGTTGGTATGCTAAGAGATTGGAAGGATGAGGACGAGCTCGTCGAGGCCGAGACGCTCCGGCCGCGAGCCAAAGCCGTTTTGGTATATATGCGCGGCGCACGAGATTGTACTGGGTGCATATGAGGTGCACTATCCGGGTCTGAGGCATCACAAATGGGGTCAACAAGTCCAAGCGAAGGGGAGGTCGAAGGGAGAGAGTTAGGCGCTCCTTGCCTCTGGCTGCGGTCCAGGTCCTGGTCGGTATCCATGTCCATGTCCATGTCGAGCGCAAATGAATGACCCATGTCTCCAACATCGCTCCCAGGCTCGTCATCATCAGAGTCGTCACTGGCAATGACGTCCGAGTCGTCACCGTCGTCGTCACTGGGGGTATCGTCTTCTTCACACGCGACCCAAAGTAGGCCACGGAAACGAGGTGAGATTACGGGGGTGTCGGAAGTGACGGAGAAAAAGGCCTTTTGTTGTTCGTTGTCGCCTTCGAGACCGTGGAGAAAAGGGAAGAGGACATGGTCGGGGGCGTGGGAGGTGGTGGCGGTACGATGGATGGTAGCAAACTGGGACGCAGTGAGAGCGCGGATGGGTGTATGCGGTGCAGGACGTGGAAGAAGTACAGGGAGAGAGGATAGAAAATCTGGAGGGTAGTTGAGACCGTGAATGACGC